AGAGAGAATGAAAATTGTGTAACAAAAGAAGGGTTCTTCAAATGAAAAGAGACAAAGGACATAAGAGTAAGTATTTTAGATTACCTAATAAATTAAGGATATTTTAGTAATTTAAAATAGGAATGCAGATGAGATGTGTATGTACATACCCATTCCTATCCCTGTACCCAATTAAAAAAATCGGGTATTATCCATATCTATACTCATACCCAATCAACATGGGGATTTTTTGTCAAAATCGGGACTGATTTTGACGGTACTTATGGACTGGTTTATTTGTCATCCCTACTTGTATGCCGAGATGCTTTTGGAGATCTTTTATTAAAAAAAAAGCTTGTATTCTTTATGACTTAATTTTTACACACTGCACAACAATTAATGTAGTACTCTGTTTTGGCTTTAGTCCAATGATTGAGTAGCCGGAAGTTTTTCAATGTAAAGTCATAGTTGTGAAATTTTAGGATGCTGTTTTTGATCTAATCTGTTTCTTGATCAGGTAAAGTTGGAAGAAGAGGAAAGCAATAATTTCAAAGATTGTCTGCTTCCTACAGTAATTGGATTGCTTAGAACTGTAAGTAATTAGTAGTATTTTTCTTGACTAAATTATTATTTAGGCTAGTTTTGGAAGTTTGAGTATTATTTTTTTTTTGAGAAATAACTTTTTGTAAGATCAGTGCAGCGAGATTTCCCATTATGTATTTTTGAGGTTTTGTTGTCCTTTATCCCTTCTTCAAGATATGTGAATATTACTTATTTTTCTTGCAACTGATAGAAGAATAAACGAAGCAGAAAAATTACTTTGTATGAGATCTCATGCCACATAGAACGTTTCTGTTTCTGAGCTACTATATACAAAGAAACAATGGCTTTAGTTTTCCATATTAATGATGTTTACATGATGTTGTCTCACCAGCCTCAAGCTTCTCGTGATTCTAGTTCTCCTATAATGGTTTCCCATACCATGGATCCTTCATCCTCAACATCTTCCTATGACTCCAATTTAGATTGCCCATTGTTATTGGGAAATGCATTCTGTCATTTTGAGTTACCACCATTTATCTCAATTATACTCTTTTGTTTTCTCTTTGTCTACTACTGCGACTCTTAAAACTATCCATGAGGCACTTGATCATCTTGGATAGAGACAAGCCATGGTTGATGAAATTTAGGCTTTTTCAAACAATGACACATGGGAGCTTGTCCCTCTCCTCCTCGGGAAGAAGACCGGTGGTTGCAGATAGGTTTGTGTTGAAGTTGTGCCTAATGGTAATGTAGATCAACTTAATGTTAGGTTGCTGCGGCCAGGGAATATACTCAAATTTATGACCTTGTTTATGGAGATACTTTTTCTCTCGTGGTCAAGATCACCACAATTCAACTCTTCCTTGATATGGCTACTATTCATAATTGGTCACTTCACTAGCTTGACATTAAAAATATCTTCCTTCATGGTGTCCTTAAGGAAGAATTTTATATAGAGCAACCTCTTAGATTCGTTACTAAAGGGAGTATGGTCTAACTCGTAAATTATGTTGGTCTCTCCATGGACTAAAGCAATCACCCAGAGTTGGTTTGGTAGATTTAGTTTTACCATGTAGAGCTTTGGATTTAAACAAGATGAGACAAATCATTCAGTTTTCTATTCTCATACTTTACCTAGGAAGTGTGTTTATCTAATGGTCTATGTTGATGATATAGTTATTATAAGAAACAATGTGACTAGGATTCCTCAACTAAAAGGGCACTTATTCAATCATTTTCAGAGCAAGGACCTTGACTATCTTCAATACTTTTTTGTTACTAAAGTGGCTTAACCAAAGGAAGGTTTTGTAAGAGATAGGGCTGACAAATTGCAAGCTCGTTGATAGTCCTAGGGACCCAACTCAAAAGCTAATGTTGGACTGAGGTGAAATATTTTAGATAGAGAAAAATATAAGGTTGGTGGGAAAACTGATCGGTCTCTTTATTACAAGACTTGATATTTTTTATGCAATTGTAGTTGTTAGTCAATTCATGAAGAATTCTCACATTGATCACTGGAATGTTGTGATTCACATTCTCAAATCTATAACAAGGGTTCTAGGAAATGCTCAAATATTATGTGATTGTGATGTAGATTAGGCTGTATTGACATCAGATCCAAGACATGATATTGTGTATTCATGGGAGGGATTATATATAATCTCTTGAAAGAGCAAGAAAAAATGTGTTGTTGCTTAGTCTAGTGAAAATTGAATATAGATCTATGGCTTTGGCTACCTATGAACTTGTACGGATTAAGCAACTCTTTCAAGAGTTGAAAATTTTTGAAATTGAGTTGATGAAGTTATATTGTGATAATCAAAGTCCATGATTTCATTAGAAAACCAAATGTATAGAGATAAATTGTCATTTTGTTAGGGAAAAATTGTTCTCCTAAGAGTTGTGGGTTTCTTCGAGAAGAGACACTGGGAATATTTGATACCAATGAACCATAAACAAACCCATACAAGAGACCTACCCCTACCTCCAGTCCAAAATCTTTAGGCAATAGGTTTGTGAGTCTTTGTCCTTATATATTGCTTATCTTGCTCATTTCAAGCCAACGTGAGGTCTTCCAACTCACATGAATTTGTAAGTTTAAGCTCGTTTGATATTGGTACACCTTTCTATCAAGCAAAAACGTTTCTTAACTACTCACCACAACTATACATGCTTTTGTGAAACACCTTCAAGAAGACTTTTAATACAAGGAATCACAAACCTATAATTCTTCACCTACTCCAATGAGCCATGAGCTAACTTATATTAGAGACCAACCGAGACAACACTTCTAACCCAGTCTTGCAACTTATGTATTGCTCATCTTGCATTTTTTGGGGCCTTCCAACTCACTTGAAGTTCATAATGTAAAACATGGTAGCTTTAAGTTGGTGCATACATTTTATATCCTTTAGCATAAGGGGAGGTTTTAGAATAGTTTTTTATTATTTTGTTGTGAAAACTTTTTAAAGCTACTTTTTGAGTGTACCTAGCTTTAGGCTAAGTGNATTTGTAATCTCCCTAAATGATATCATAACCTCTTTTCTACTCAGTAAAAAATTATTTTTCTTTTAAAATAATCTGTAAGGGGAAAGGACATATCCTGGGTTCATCGAGAACCACAACCAGATTATGTCATAAAAGAGCCTCTTTGCAGTGCAGAAACAAATGGGTAACTGTTTCTTATTAAACCTGCACATGATTGGTATTGGCATGTATTGTGAGGGGGACTGAGAGAAGAAGTAGGAAAGTTGCGGCTGAACAAAACCTTTTGAATTAAACGTTACTGATTTCAGGTGCATAACTAAAATTTGAGGAGGTATGATTGTTAAATAGGATGGTTGAGCGAGGTTAAGGGGGTCTCATTTATGTGAAATTAAGATGAAGAGATATTAGGACTCACAAGGCCATTTCTTTATTCAGCATTCATGCCTATCTAGTTCTGCTGTCACTCTGGTGCTGAACTGAGATTAGAGTTCTTGAATAAAGTTCGTTATTTTCCTACTCTACTGGTTCCAGTGTTAGTCTGCATGTAACAGATGTATGGTGAAAAGCTGTGGCTGGTATATGAATTTTTAACATTTAATCATATTTGTTAATCTTATGAAGGATCTCTGTCTAAGAAAGACCTGTGTTTAGGAGGGTAGTACAAAAGTTTCAAGTGGGTTTGTCAGGGATGGAATTGTTTAATTTTTGAGAGATTGATTATTTAATTTAGAATGTCAGCATTTGAGAAAGATCTTTGTGGAAAATACACATGAAGAATTCAAAATCCGAAATCCAAATTTGTTTGTGCTGGAACATAGATGAGTAATAGAGTCAAGTGATGATAGAAGGGTAAATGATGCTAACCTAGGCTTGTTTTTGTTTCTTTTTTCTTAATGATATATAGGTGTGTTGTAGACTATTGATATAGACCGGCGTCAACCTAGTTGGGATTGCAGTCTTGTACATAACGATGGCAATGGGGTGGGGCAGGTTATACCTAAACCCTAAACAATTTAATTTGGTAAAGTTGAGGTATATGTTTCCTAATATGTAATACATCGTTTGAAGAAAGCCATATAGTGGAAAATGTATATTTGGAATTGTGATGAGAGAGAAAATACTGTAGGGATCTGAGTGAAGTTGATGGATATCGAATGAGTAGAACAATTGAGAGAGAGAATGAAAATTGTGTAACAAAAGAAGGGTTCTTCAAATGAAAAGAGACAAAGGACATAAGAGTAAGTATTTTAGATTACCTAATAAATTAAGGATATTTTAGTAATTTAAAATAGGAATGCAGATGAGATGTGTATGTACATACCCATTCCTATCCCTGTACCCAATTAAAAAAATCGGGTATTATCCATATCTATACTCATACCCAATCAACATGGGGATTTTTTGTCAAAATCGGGACTGATTTTGACGGTACTTATGGACTGGTTTATTTGTCATCCCTACTTGTATGACGAGATGCTTTTGGAGATCTTTTATTAAAAAAAAAGCTTGTATTCTTTATGACTTAATTTTTACACACTGCACAACAATTAATGTAGTACTCTGTTTTGGCTTTAGTCCAATGATTGAGTAGCCGGAAGTTTTTCAATGTAAAGTCATAGTTGTGAAATTTTAGGATGCTGTTTTTGATCTAATCTGTTTCTTGATCAGGTAAAGTTGGAAGAAGAGGAAAGCAATAATTTCAAAGATTGTCTGCTTCCTACAGTAATTGGATTGCTTAGAACTGTAAGTAATTAGTAGTATTTTTCTTGACTAAATTATTATTTAGGCTAGTTTTGGAAGTTTGAGTATTATTTTTTTTTTGAGAAATAACTTTTTGTAAGATCAGTGCAGCGAGATTTCCCATTATGTATTTTTGAGGTTTTGTTGTCCTTTATCCCTTCTTCAAGATATGTGAATATTACTTATTTTTCTTGCAACTGATAGAAGAATAANCTTCACATTCAATGGCAAAGGACATATAGGAAGAAATAAATAAATAAAATAGCTTTTTCTCTCCTCACTAAGTGAGAACAGTGCTTTTTGTCAATGTATCATTATTCTTTTCTCTACAGAAAATTCAGCTTTTTTTTGGCTTTGGGTTGCAATAGTTATCATAAGTAGACATTGGGTTCATGACTCAGTTTCTGTACCGAACCTTATAATTTTGCCAATTTGAGCTGTTACTCCGGCTAGTGTGTGATTGGCTCTTCAATCTATCAATGTTGTAAAAAATCATATCAAATGATTTTATACTAATCATGATTTCAATAGTTATGTTTAGGAAGTAATTCCATTCTTATTTTGAAATATTTTAAACTTCTTTGTTTTTTAAACATGTTTTCTTTGTCCCTTGGTATTTTTAACTTCGAAATCTTAACTTTTGGCTATTATTTATATATTGCTAAAATTGGATTTTAAATATGTGAAAGAAAAGGCTAAAGTTATATTTTGTACTGGACATTTAGTAATGTATTGTATTATTTTGGTAGCATTCTTTCAGCAGAGTTTATTCGGGCTTCCTTACAAGATGCTGCAGAAAAAGATGGGATAATTTTATCCAAAGCTAAAGCAAGAGCCTCCCTTCCAATGAATGGAAAGGATGATGAAGTAAGATTGTGTCTTCATTTATTTTTCTCAGTGCTTTTTCTTTAATTTTCTACTCATGTGATGGAAATCTTTCAAATCTTCACTGTTACTTTTTTTGAGTGGGTACTCTTTCCCATGGGGGGGTTCTTTTGCTTTAACTTGGTCAAGATATGCCAAAATGAGCTGTGCTATATTGTCACGGGGGGCCAATAGGCTCTACTTACATTTTCTGATGGAGTTCATGTATACACGTATATGTTAACTTTACTAAAGAAAAAGTAAACGTTGATGTTTTGGTTATATAGAATTTGAAGTAGTAAACTTCATAGACAGCAACAGCATGCTTAATGTATTGTCTTTTAAGATACTGTTTTTATCTCATTTGAAATGGCTCATGAGTGCAACAAAACTCACAATCTCTTTGGATATCAATCAGTTATAGAAATTCCTTTGAAATGGGCACTACCAAGGATCAGGGGTCCATTAAACACCATTAGACATATAAATGGGAAAACAGACACCCTGGAAAATATTTACATTACTCTCCTGCCATGTACAATGATATCATACCCTCGTCATTTGTAATCTCCCTAAATGATATCATAACCTCTTTTCTACTCAGTAAAAAATTATTTTTCTTTTAAAATAATCTGTAAGGGGAAAGGACATATCCTGGGTTCATCGAGAACCACAACCAGATTATGTCATAAAAGAGCCTCTTTGCAGTGCAGAAACAAATGGGTAACTGTTTCTTATTAAACCTGCACATGATTGGTATTGGCATGTATTGTGAGGGGGACTGAGAGAAGAAGTAGGAAAGTTGCGGCTGAACAAAACCTTTTGAATTAAACGTTACTGATTTCAGGTGCATAACTAAAATTTGAGGAGGTATGATTGTTAAATAGGATGGTTGAGCGAGGTTAAGGGGGTCTCATTTATGTGAAATTAAGATGAAGAGATATTAGGACTCACAAGGCCATTTCTTTATTCAGCATTCATGCCTATCTAGTTCTGCTGTCACTCTGGTGCTGAACTGAGATTAGAGTTCTTGAATAAAGTTCGTTATTTTCCTACTCTACTGGTTCCAGTGTTAGTCTGCATGTAACAGATGTATGGTGAAAAGCTGTGGCTGGTATATGAATTTTTAACATTTAATCATATTTGTTAATCTTATGAAGGATCTCTGTCTAAGAAAGACCTGTGTTTAGGAGGGTAGTACAAAAGTTTCAAGTGGGTTTGTCAGGGATGGAATTGTTTAATTTTTGAGAGATTGATTATTTAATTTAGAATGTCAGCATTTGAGAAAGATCTTTGTGGAAAATACACATGAAGAATTCAAAATCCGAAATCCAAATTTGTTTGTGCTGGAACATAGATGAGTAATAGAGTCAAGTGATGATAGAAGGGTAAATGATGCTAGCCTAGGCTTGTTTTTGTTTCTTTTTTCTTAATGATATATAGGTGTGTTGTAGACTATTGATATAGACCGGCGTCAACCTAGTTGGGATTGCAGTCTTGTACATAACGATGGCAATGGGGTGGGGCAGGTTATACCTAAACCCTAAACAATTTAATTTGGTAAAGTTGAGGTATATGTTTCCTAATATGTAATACATCGTTTGAAGAAAGCCATATAGTGGAAAATGTGTATTTGGAATTGTGATGAGAGAGAAAATACTGTAGGGATCTGAGTGAAGTTGATGGATATCGAATGAGTTGAACAATTGAGAGAGAGAATGAAAATTGTGTAACAAAAGAAGGGTTCTTCAAATGAAAAGAGACAAAGGACATAAGAGTAAGTATTTTAGATTACCTAATAAATTAAGGATATTTTAGTAATTTAAAATAGGAATGCAGATGAGATGTGTATGTACATACCCATTCCTATCCCTGTACCCAATTAAAAAAATCGGGTATTATCCATATCTATACTCATACCCAATCAACATGGGGATTTTTTGTCAAAATCGGGACTGATTTTGACGGTACTTATGGACTGGTTTATTTGTCATCCCTACTTGTATGCCGAGATGCTTTTGGAGATCTTTTATTAAAAAAAAAGCTTGTATTCTTTATGACTTAATTTTTACACACTGCACAACAATTAATGTAGTACTCTGTTTTGGCTTTAGTCCAATGATTGAGTAGCCGGAAGTTTTTCAATGTAAAGTCATAGTTGTGAAATTTTAGGATGCTGTTTTTGATCTAATCTGTTTCTTGATCAGGTAAAGTTGGAAGAAGAGGAAAGCAATAATTTCAAAGATTGTCTGCTTCCTACAGTAATTGGATTGCTTAGAACTGTAAGTAATTAGTAGTATTTTTCTTGACTAAATTATTATTTAGGCTAGTTTTGGAAGTTTGAGTATTATTTTTTTTTTGAGAAATAACTTTTTGTAAGATCAGTGCAGCGAGATTTCCCATTATGTATTTTTGAGGTTTTGTTGTCCTTTATCCCTTCTTCAAGATATGTGAATATTACTTATTTTTCTTGCAACTGATAGAAGAATAAACGAAGCAGAAAAATTACTTTGTATGAGATCTCATGCCACATAGAACGTTTCTGTTTCTGAGCTACTATATACAAAGAAACAATGGCTTTAGTTTTCCATATTAATGATGTTTACATGATGTTGTCTCACCAGCCTCAAGCTTCTCGTGATTCTAGTTCTCCTATAATGGTTTCCCATACCATGGATCCTTCATCCTCAACATCTTCCTATGACTCCAATTTAGATTGCCCATTGTTATTGGGAAATGCATTCTGTCATTTTGAGTTACCACCATTTATCTCAATTATACTCTTTTGTTTTCTCTTTGTCTACTACTGCGACTCTTAAAACTATCCATGAGGCACTTGATCATCTTGGATAGAGACAAGCCATGGTTGATGAAATTTAGGCTTTTTCAAACAATGACACATGGGAGCTTGTCCCTCTCCTCCTCGGGAAGAAGACCGGTGGTTGCAGATAGGTTTGTGTTGAAGTTGTGCCTAATGGTAATGTAGATCAACTTAATGTTAGGTTGCTGCGGCCAGGGAATATACTCAAATTTATGACCTTGTTTATGGAGATACTTTTTCTCTCGTGGTCAAGATCACCACAATTCAACTCTTCCTTGATATGGCTACTATTCATAATTGGTCACTTCACTAGCTTGACATTAAAAATATCTTCCTTCATGGTGTCCTTAAGGAAGAATTTTATATAGAGCAACCTCTTAGATTCGTTACTAAAGGGAGTATGGTCTAACTCGTAAATTATGTTGGTCTCTCCATGGACTAAAGCAATCACCCAGAGTTGGTTTGGTAGATTTAGTTTTACCATGTAGAGCTTTGGATTTAAACAAGATGAGACAAATCATTCAGTTTTCTATTCTCATACTTTACCTAGGAAGTGTGTTTATCTAATGGTCTATGTTGATGATATAGTTATTATAAGAAACAATGTGACTAGGATTCCTCAACTAAAAGGGCACTTATTCAATCATTTTCAGAGCAAGGACCTTGACTATCTTCAATACTTTTTTGTTACTAAAGTGGCTTAACCAAAGGAAGGTTTTGTAAGAGATAGGGCTGACAAATTGCAAGCTCGTTGATAGTCCTAGGGACCCAACTCAAAAGCTAATGTTGGACTGAGGTGAAATATTTTAGATAGAGAAAAATATAAGGTTGGTGGGAAAACTGATCGGTCTCTTTATTACAAGACTTGATATTTTTTATGCAATTGTAGTTGTTAGTCAATTCATGAAGAATTCTCACATTGATCACTGGAATGTTGTGATTCACATTCTCAAATCTATAACAAGGGTTCTAGGAAATGCTCAAATATTATGTGATTGTGATGTAGATTAGGCTGTATTGACATCAGATCCAAGACATGATATTGTGTATTCATGGGAGGGATTATATATAATCTCTTGAAAGAGCAAGAAAAAATGTGTTGTTGCTTAGTCTAGTGAAAATTGAATATAGATCTATGGCTTTGGCTACCTATGAACTTGTACGGATTAAGCAACTCTTTCAAGAGTTGAAAATTTTTGAAATTGAGTTGATGAAGTTATATTGTGATAATCAAAGTCCATGATTTCATTAGAAAACCAAATGTATAGAGATAAATTGTCATTTTGTTAGGGAAAAATTGTTCTCCTAAGAGTTGTGGGTTTCTTCGAGAAGAGACACTGGGAATATTTGATACCAATGAACCATAAACAAACCCATACAAGAGACCTACCCCTACCTCCAGTCCAAAATCTTTAGGCAATAGGTTTGTGAGTCTTTGTCCTTATATATTGCTTATCTTGCTCATTTCAAGCCAACGTGAGGTCTTCCAACTCACATGAATTTGTAAGTTTAAGCTCGTTTGATATTGGTACACCTTTCTATCAAGCAAAAACGTTTCTTAACTACTCACCACAACTATACATGCTTTTGTGAAACACCTTCAAGAAGACTTTTAATACAAGGAATCACAAACCTATAATTCTTCACCTACTCCAATGAGCCATGAGCTAACTTATATTAGAGACCAACCGAGACAACACTTCTAACCCAGTCTTGCAACTTATGTATTGCTCATCTTGCATTTTTTGGGGCCTTCCAACTCACTTGAAGTTCATAATGTAAAACATGGTAGCTTTAAGTTGGTGCATACATTTTATATCCTTTAGCATAAGGGGAGGTTTTAGAATAGTTTTTTATTATTTTGTTGTGAAAACTTTTTAAAGCTACTTTTTGAGTGTACCTAGCTTTAGGCTAAGTGTCATAGGCTGTAGCCTCTTGTCTTTATATATTTATACTTGTACTCCTTTACATATGATATACAGAACACATCATCTGAGAAGTATAACTCATTGAGAGATAAAAGTTGGACACCATACCGTACAAGTCACAGGCCATAGCATTTTCTCCCTCATGCAAAACGATGGAGATATTGAGAGAGATGTCAACCAATGAATATGATTGTGGTGGATTAAATGAAGGCTTGTTTATGGTATTCTATGTGACAGAAATATAGTGCCCATGCTTAAGGAAAACTTTTCCTATCTATAAGTAAGATTTGCATTGTTAATCTATAAAAAGCCAAAAAGAAAATAAAATTAGTGTAGTATAGATGGAAATGTTTCATTGGATGAGTGGGCGTACAAGACAGGATTTTTCTTGTTTAACTTATCCTGTTTCTTCTGGCTCCTTTAGCTGCTCATATGTTTGATGTGTTTTTATCTGCGTTTTCTTTGTGATGGGTATAATGAATACTAAGAGATTTCACATTTTTTAATAGCATGAGCTTCTTGTTCTTTTAAGAAACACGACAATAAAACATCAAGGTACACTGAGGGCTGATATGAAGAGTGCTATTAAGATCTGTACTAGGCTTAATTTGGTTAAAAATACCTTATTTTCAGGCTAAACTCCCCTCTCTTCTGAGAACTTATCGAGATACACTGACTGCTGATATGAAGAGTGCTATTAAGACTGCTGTTGCTGAGCTGCTTCCAGTTCTTGCTTCTCGAGGTTCAGAGTCAGAGTTCTTTTCTGGAGACAGAACTGTAGATGCAGATGGTGAGAATTTCTTTAGCGTAATTGGTGATGTTTGTCTATAAGGAGATATACTTTTAAATGCTTCTAGTGTGCTGTGTTTTTGTGGAATCTGTTCTTTTTTCAACTTGCTAATCCTAAATTGTAACTCAGGTGGAGGTGCATCACTTGCTAGCAAGTTGAGGAGCCTATCATCTGACTGCTTTGTTCATCTTTTGAGTGCTATTTTCTTGATAGTACAGGTAATTTATACTTGGCAATTGTTAATTTGTTAGATCATCTAGACTAGAATATTGCAGTCTTTTGAAATGTATTCAGTTTTAATAATATAGATGATGTGCCTTTATGGCTAGGAAGCCCAGCACGGCTCCTAAACAGTGTGCCATGTGATCAACACTTTTTGAATTTTGACACTCTTTGGGCAGTTGTCATATACTCATTTCCAGTGTCTGAATTATAAAATACTTTTTCTTGGCTTAAAGACTTCTCTGGTAAAGCTTGGGCATGGTCCAAATTCAATTTACTTTATATTATAAAATGTAAATTGCATTAATGCCTCCTGAAGTTTTTTCAAATTACATTGAGACTCCAGTTTTGAAATTTTACGCAGACCTCCATTTTTGTTTAAAAAACATTCCATTGTCATCTCTTTTCACCTTACATATGCCTCCTTAAGAAGCCCTGGAAAGGGAGACCACTGTAATGGTGAAAAAAACAGGTGTTAAGCGTACTTTTTAAAAAATCTTAAGGGATGTCAGATTAATTTACTCTACTATAAATGNTTCTTCAAGATATGTGAATATTACTTATTTTTCTTGCAACTGATAGAAGAATAAACGAAGCAGAAAAATTACTTTGTATGAGATCTCATGCCACATAGAACGTTTCTGTTTCTGAGCTACTATATACAAAGAAACAATGGCTTTAGTTTTCCATATTAATGATGTTTACATGATGTTGTCTCACCAGCCTCAAGCTTCTCGTGATTCTAGTTCTCCTATAATGGTTTCCCATACCATGGATCCTTCATCCTCAACATCTTCCTATGACTCCAATTTAGATTGCCCATTGTTATTGGGAAATGCATTCTGTCATTTTGAGTTACCACCATTTATCTCAATTATACTCTTTTGTTTTCTCTTTGTCTACTACTGCGACTCTTAAAACTATCCATGAGGCACTTGATCATCTTGGATAGAGACAAGCCATGGTTGATGAAATTTAGGCTTTTTCAAACAATGACACATGGGAGCTTGACCCTCTCCTCCTCGGGAAGAAGACCGGTGGTTGCAGATAGGTTTATGTTGAAGTTGTGCCTAATGGTAATGTAGATCAACTTAATGTTAGGTTGCTGCGGCCAGGGAATATACTCAAATTTATGACCTTGTTTATGGAGATACTTTTTCTCTCGTGGTCAAGATCACCACAATTCAACTCTTCCTTGATATGGCTACTATTCATAATTGGTCACTTCACTAGCTTGACATTAAAAATATCTTCCTTCATGGTGTCCTTAAGGAAGAATTTTATATAGAGCAACCTCTTAGATTCGTTACTAAAGGGAGTATGGTCTAACTCGTAAATTATGTTGGTCTCTCCATGGACAAAAGCAATCACCCAGAGTTGGTTTGGTAGAATTAGTTTTACCATGTAGAGCTTTGGATTTAAACAAGATGAGACAAATCATTCAGTTTTCTATTCTCATACTTTACCTAGGAAGTGTGTTTATCTAATGGTCTATGTTGATGATATAGTTATTATAAGAAACAATGTGACTAGGATTCATCAACTAAAAGGGCACTTATTCAATCATTTTCAGAGCAAGGACCTTGACTATCTTCAATACTTTTTTGTTACTAAAGTGGCTTAACCAAAGGAAGGTTTTGTAAGAGATAGGGCTGACAAATTGCAAGCTCGTTGATAGTCCTAGGGACCCAACTCAAAAGCTAATGTTGGACTGAGGTGAAATATTTTAGATAGAGAAAAATATAAGGTTGGTGGGAAAACTGATCAGTCTCTTTATTACAAGACTTGATATTTTTTATGCAATTGTAGTTGTTAGTCAATTCATGAAGAATTCTCACATTGATCACTGGAATGTTGTGATTCACATTCTCAAATCTATAACAAGGGTTCTAGGAAATGCTCAAATATTATGTGATTGTGATGTAGATTAGGCTGTATTGACATCAGATCCAAGACATGATATTGTGTATTCATGGGAGGGATTATATATAATCTCTTGAAAGAGCAAGAAAAAATGTGTTGTTGCTTAGTCTAGTGAAAATTGAATATAGATCTATGGCTTTGGCTACCTATGAACTTGTACGGATTAAGCAACTCTTTCAAGAGTTGAAAATTTTTGAAATTGAGTTGATGAAGTTATATTGTGATAATCAAAGTCCATGATTTCATTAGAAAACCAAATGTATAGAGATAAATTGTCATTTTGTTAGGGAAAAATTGTTCTCCTAAGAGTTGTGGGTTTCTTCGAGAAGAGACACTGGGAATATTTGATACCAATGAACCATAAACAAACCCATACAAGAGACCTACCCCTACCTCCAGTCCAAAATCTTTAGGCAATAGGTTTGTGAGTCTTTGTCCTTATATATTGCTTATCTTGCTCATTTCAAGCCAACATGAGGTCTTCCAACTCACATGAATTTGTAAGTTTAAGCTCATTTGATATTGGTACACCTTTCTATCAAGCAAAAACGTTTCTTAACTACTCACCACAACTATACATGCTTTTGTGAAACACCTTCAAGAAGACTTTTAATACAAGGAATCACAAACCTATAATTCTTCACCTACTCCAATGAGCCATGAGCTAACTTATATTAGAGACCAACCGAGACAACACTTCTAACCCAGTCTTGCAACTTATGTATTGCTCATCTTGCATTTTTTGGGGCCTTCCAACTCACTTGAAGTTCATAATGTAAAACATGGTAGCTTTAAGTTGGTGCATACATTTTATATCCTTTAGCATAAGGGAAGGTTTTAGAATAGTTTTTTATTATTTTGTTGTGAAAACTTTTTAAAGCTACTTTTTGAGTGTACCTAGCTTTAGGCTAAGTGTCATAGGCTGTAGCCTCTTGTCTTTATATATTTATACTTGTACTCCTTTACATATGATATACAGAACACATCATCTGAGAAGTATAACTCATTGAGAGATAAAAGTTGGACACCATACCGTACAAGTCACAGGCCATAGCATTTTCTCCCTCATGCAAAACGATGGAGATATTGAGAGAGATGTCAACCAATGAATATGATTGTGGTGGATTAAATGAAGGCTTGTTTATGGTATTCTATGTGACAGAAATATAGTGCCCATGCTTAAGGAAAACTTTTCCTATCTATAAGTAAGATTTGCATTGTTAANTAAGGGGAGGTTTTAGAATAGTTTTTTATTATTTTGTTGTGAAAACTTTTTAAAGCTACTTTTTGAGTGTACCTAGCTTTAGGCTAAGTGTCATAGGCTGTAGCCTCTTGTCTTTATATATTTATACTTGTACTCCTTTACATATGATATACAGAACACATAATCTGAGAAGTATAACTCATTGAGAGATAAAAGTTGGACACCATACCGTACAAGTCACAGGCCATAGCATTTTCTCCCTCATGCAAAACGATGGAGATATTGAGAGAGATGTCAACCAATGAATATGATTGTGGTGGATTAAATGAAGGCTTGTTTATGGTATTCTATGTGACAGAAATATAGTGCCCATGCTTAAGGAAAACTTTTCCTATCTATAAGTAAGATTTGCATTGTTAAACTATAAAAAGCCAAAAAGAAAATAAAATTAGTGTAGTATAGATGGAAATGTTTCATTGGATGAGTGGGCGTACAAGACAGGATTTTTCTTGTTTAACTTAACCTGTTTCTTCTGGCTCCTTTAGCTGCTCATATGTTTGATGTGTTTTTATCTGCGTTTTCTTTGTGATGGGTATAATGAATACTAAGAGATTTCACATTTTTTAATAGCATGAGCTTCTTGTTCTTTTAAGAAACACGACAATAAAACATCAAGGTACACTGAGGGCTGATATGAAGAGTGCTATTAAGATCTGTACTAGGCTTAATTTGGTTAAAAATACCTTATTTTCAGGCTAAACTCCCCTCTATTCTGAGAACTTATCGAGATACACTGACTGCTGATATGAAGAGTGCTATTAAGACTGCTGTTGCTGAGCTGCTTCCAGTTCTTGCTTCTCGAGGTTCAGAGTCAGAGTTCTTTTCTGGAGACAGAACTGTAGATGCAGATGGTGAGAATTTCTTTAGCGTAATTGGTGATGTTTGTCTATAAGGAGATATACTTTTAAATGCTTCTAGTGTGCTGTGTTTTTGTGGAATCTGTTCTTTTTTCAACTTGCTAATCCTAAATTGTAACTCAGGTGGAGGTGCATCACTTGCTAGCAAGTTGAGGAGCCTATCATCTGACTGCTTTGTTCATCTTTTGAGTGCTATTTTCTTGATAGTACAGGTAATTTATACTTGGCAATTGTTAATTTGTTAGATCATCTAGACTAGAATATTGCAGTCTTTTGAAATGTATTCAGTTTTAATAATATAGATGATGTGCCTTTATGGCTAGGAAGCCCAGCACGGCTCCTAAACAGTGTGCCATGTGATCAACACTTTTTGAATTTTGACACTCTTTGGGCAGTTGTCATATACTCATTTCCAGTGTCTGAATTATAAAATACTTTTTCTTGGCTTAAAGACTTCTCTGGTAAAGCTTGGGCATGGTCCAAATTCAATTTACTTTATATTATAAAATGTAAATTGCATTAATGCCTCCTGAAGTTTTTTCAAATTACATTGAGACTCCAGTTTTGAAATTTTACGCAGACCTCCATTTTTGTTTAAAAAACATTCCATTGTCATCTCTTTTCACCTTACATATGCCTCCTTAAGAAGCCCTGGAAAGGGAGACCACTGTAATGGTGAAAAAAACAGGTGTTAAGCGTACTTTTTAAAAAATCTTAAGGGATGTCAGATTAATTTACTCTACTATAAATGTTAAAAATTAAAATAATTTAAAATATTGTAATTATAAGCATATTAACCCAAAACACGAGGCTCATTATCATAGGACTTGAGCATTTGTTTTAAGAGATATGATTGTTCCTTTAGCTGTGTCCCAGGATTTATTTCCGCTGTCTCATTTTGAAGCTTAACACCTTTATTTTTAAAAGGTAAATATAAAATCGTAATTGAATTCTCATTATATGTGTGTTTGTGCAGTGTCATGGTGTCCTATAGACATTAGCTGCGTTATGGGGTTTTTGTCTTGTCTGGTGATTGAGTTTCTAGGAATTTTTTATCCTTAACTTAGTTTTCTTTCAGTTGAATTACTTTTCTTACAAGACAAATTAATGAGAAAGACAGAAGATCATGTAGCTTGGTTGTGAAATTATGTGTTTAACTCAGTGCAACTGTGCAAACATGATACGAATCCCAAATAATTGTGTGGAGTGGCCCATGCCGACAACAGAACCTCTACGCCATATAGTAGGATGGTGTTAGGGAGGAGACCGAACTGACCAAATGGACTACAAGTATATATCTTAGAAGAAAGATTTGGAGGGGAGATTGGTAGATTTTGGAAGTTAATTGTGGGTATAAATAGCTCTCCTAGTGAAGAGAGAGGGTACCTATTTTGTATTGTATAATCCGCTGGGATATCAAGTGTGAAGTATTTTACTCCTTTGGGTAAGCTTAACATTCTTTTGGTTACTAAACGAAATAATTCCTCCTTTCGTTCTTTTCTCTCAAATTTTTCCTTGTTTGGTTCCTGAAAAGAATTAATTCTTTTCTGAAGGAAGGAAGACTGGATACAAATTAAAAAAGTTATCTACATATATATAAATGCTCAGAAGTAAAAAATATCTAAATTATTAGCTTATTCAAAGTAAATAGCCAAAGTCATAGTCTTGTGCCAAACATCCAAGTAATTAATAACAAAAGGCAAACAACAACGCAACTGATATCCCACTATACTTGAGATCAACTGCATGCACTGCACGATGCTATTGAGTTCACTTCACGACCAAACTTGCAGGTGTATTATTCACCATTAGATTACTTTTAACAATTTATTCTGATGTCCTTCTTGTTCTCCCTCCCCACATACCTAAAAACCATGCTATCTACTGTCTGCACAATAGTGCCTTCTTTGTAGATGTCCAAACCACCTTCACCAAAGTTTTGCCATCTTTTCATCATGGTCCCTTACCAATATTCGTTGTGAACAATCATTTTATACCCTGCCTTTTCTTGTGTGGCCACACTTTCATCTTAACATTATCATTTTTACTTTTCTTACCTTTTTCTCTTGCATGAACAATTTCAATTTTACTATACTACCTTTTTCACTCACTTCCCCTTTAAAGGCCATCTTTACTACCATAGGGTGTAGCTGAATGTATAGGAATACAATAAATTTTGAGTTTGGTAGGTCTCAAACAATCTCTGATTTCTTTTTCCATTTTAACCATCTAGCCTGTATCTTGTGTTTGACATCTTTGAATTCCATATCATTTTGTAATATTGATTCCAAATATTTAAACTTGGAAACTTGTAATATGACATCTCAGTTTTAAATCCAATTAATTTTCCTGTTTTTTGCTACATTTCAATGCATATCTCTATGTTACTTATACTCAAGCGAAAAACCTTTTATTCTGTAGTTAGTATCTGTAGGTCAAGTTTAGAGTTGAAGTTTTGTGAGTTGAGTAGATGATACTATATTGTTATAATCATCCCCCCTTCACACTGTCTCCAATCCAGTGATACATAAGAGAACCATGTATGATTCATGTCAATTTTGTGAGGGAAAAGTTGTTGTCGAGGAGCTAAGTACTGTGTTCATTAACACTAATGGCCATCTTGCACACATTCAAAATCTTTAATAGGGCCTATAATTCAGTTTATATGTTCTAAGCTTGTTGCATACATGTTATATGCTTTAGTCTTAGTTGGAATGTTGAAATCGGTGATATTATTTTGTTGTACAGCTTTGGTTTTTGGGTGTACCTAGCTTTAGGTTAAGGAACATAGGCTGTAGCCTTCCTATTTCAGATATAATTGTACTCATAATTTTATAAATACAGATACATCAGCTCAGATGATACTCACTGATATTTGGCCATCTCTAAATCCAAGTGAAATCATGTTTTAGCTTGATGTGAATGGGCATAGTAATCAGTAGGATGCTATAGAAGCATAGTAATGGCATATGCAGGTTTCTGAATTCAGCTATACATTATTTTGCAACTCAGTTGTCTTAAGAGTGATGTAATAAGATTTTTTTCCTTTTAGTGATTGCAGGCACATTTAGTGCGGGCTGCTGAAGTGAAAAAGGCCATTGAATGGATTTTGAACAATCGTGACGGTCATTATGCTGCTGATTCAGTTGTGGCAGCTATTGCTCATGGTGCTGCAGCTGCAGAAACATCACAAGAAAGTGAGGTTCATGGTACTGCGTTTTTGCCATATTCAGCACAAAGAAGTGTTGCCAAGGGTCCTTCATTTCAGGGAAAATCAATTGATGCTGTGAACTCCTCCAACATGTCAAAAAATTTCAGGTTAAACCTTGGTCTTGTTTCTGATATACTTGTAGTAGAAACTGGGAAGCTTTTTCCTGATTCTTTTTGGTGTTTAGATTTAGAAAGGAAGTAATGTGTGGTCTGAGATTTTTTTTGTTTTTTTCAAACATCCTTTTTTTGTTCTGATAAATTGATAACTGCTACTATGTAGTTCTCTAGCACCTGAACAACATAATCCAGTTTGGAAATATAAGCATATTGTAATGTTAAAGAGTTCACCTGTGCAGTGAAGACTTCTAAAATTGATACACATTAGCTAAAACTATATATCGTTTTTTAATTTTTTGATTGTATATTTTCAGTATCTTATTAAAGGCTGTGGATGACATTTTTTTGAATGTTCACTACTGTGATTCACTTGTGAAAGTTGTGATAGATGACACAAACTTCATGATCACTTATTATTTTAACAATAGGGAATGACATTATAACATAGTGGATACATTAAATATGGAGTAATTTGTTTTATCATGCAAGATTAATACTTCTGATCACCTCAACGATTAAGTCAGTATGCAAGCTATACTAGACCCTTTTGCTGCTATTTTTGCTGTTTGTGCTGAATTTTCCTTTTGCTGGTAACAAATGGCACTTCCAGGGTTTTCCTTTCTTTAAAAATTAAAATACTGGGGACATCATTTGAATTCACTTATATCTAAAAATCATAAAAATTAAGATAGAATACATTTCAGATTTTTGTTCTGTTCTGCAATAACTTTGTGCTTTAGTCGTCCCATTTGTTTGATGTTCTCAAAGAATCTGGTTCTAAACAGAGCTGATATATTGCGAGAAAACGCAGAAGCCGTCTTTGCAGCATGTGATGCGGCTCATGGAAGATGGGCAAAGCTTCTTGGGGTCCGTGCAGTTCTTCATCCTAGGTTGAAATTGCAGGAGTTTCTAGCCATATACAACATTACCCAGGAGTTCATTACTGCTACAGAAAAAGTATGTATTTTCATATAGATTTAAAACTTAACATATACAAATTATTTGGCTTTTTGTTTCCTGATTAATTTTCATTCTTACTTTAACAGATTGGTGGGAGATTGGGATACAGCATCCGTGGGACACTGCAATCACAGGCCAAGGCTTTTGTTGATTTTCAGCATGAATCACGGGTTAGTTTTAATTTTTCTTTTTGTAGGGTTTTTATCGTCCTGAAATCTCTGTATATCATTGTTAATGACTGCTTCTACGCATGTAGATGTCAAAGATTAAGGCAGTTCTTGACCAGGAAACCTGGGTGGAGATAGATGTTCCTGATGAATTTCAATCCATTGTCAATATGCTTTTTGCGTCTGATAATTTAACATCTGAGAACTTTAATGACACCGAGGATGATAATTCAACCAGTTACAATGGTGTGGTCACTAACCATGATTCTATGCCAATGGTAAACAGCAGTGCTGAACATGAAATTATGCGGGCTAATTCCATTGAAGCATCTATGAATAATGAAACATCAGATAAACCCAAATCCCTTGATGATTCAGTGGAACCAAATAAAGGTCACGGTAGGATTACATCAGCACATAGTAACGATACTGAGAAGGACCACAAAAAATCTGCATCTCAGGCTCTTAATTACAAAGGTGTTGGTTATCACATGGTCAACTGGTTAGTTATCTAGATTCAACTTCTCTCTTTTCCCAATTAGTTGCACGATCTGTCCCTTTGAATTTCTGCAGTGTTCTCTCTGTCTCTTGAATATGTTTGTGTTGGTAGGCTTTATTATTTTATTACAATATACTACTATTTGTGAGGTTCACTTGTCTTTTGTGATTTTTTTATCCTAGTTTTGATTTTGCTGTCATCATTTAAATAATTTACAGTGGATTTTTTTGCTATTTTTGATTCTAGTGGCTTAATATTGCTGAAGATGTTGTCAGAGTACATTGATATGAACAACCTTTTGCCAACACTTTCTTCGGAAGTTGTTCACCGTGTAGTAGAAATATTGAAGTTTTTCAACACGAGAACATGCCAACTTGTTCTTGGGGCTGGTGCTATGCAGGTACTGTTAGTATTGTTCTCAAAACTGTTTGTACCATTTAGATATATGTGGGTCTTTAATATTTTCTCCTTATGTTTTTAGGTCTTCTTATGCATCTTTTAATTGAACTTTCTTCCATTTGGTTTAGCTGAAATCTCTATCTTATGCCTGCTTGTCTACCTCATCATTTCCATTTTTTATGCACTTAATTTTTGGTTCAACTTGCAGTACCATAAAGCGTTTCTGGTCTTTTTAGCCAGGTCTTATATTTATTTCACACATCTTTTAATAAAGTATATGTTGTATAGACCACAAATATAACAATCAACAATACTAGCCAAGCCTTATTCTCACTGAATACTTTCAGCTATATGGATTATAGGTTCATTGTACTCGATCCTGTATCCAAATTTTCGGAACTTAATGTAATTTAAAATTCCAAATCTTCTCGCACCATATCTTCTATGGTGTCCCTCTTGGCCTATCCCCCTCCACAAAGGGGTGACCGATTCCACATGTCACACTATAGTTTGTCATTTTACATGCCTATTTCATCAATGACATTCATAGTATATAACTTTTATTGCATCTATTATCCATTTGGATATACTGAATCATCTGTTTCAACATACTCATTTCTGTTAATAGAAATCAAAGAAACATGGAAAGGAGAGAGAAACTGAAATGTGGAAATTATCATTTGAAGAATAGGAAGTCTGAGAAGAGAAGAACAAAGAGTGTATTTTCTGAATATGCTTGAGTGATAAATAACTACTGCTATTTGGCAGAAAACAGTTAAACTATCACAACTTCCTAAATCGCACTGAACCCTGCTAGATAGATAGCCACTTCGAAAAATAATAAACCATTAAATGCTTTCTCAAACTGCCTCTCATTTCATAAATTTTCTCCACCCATTTAACCTTTCTAATAAGCCTAAACACTTTCTCAGTTCCTAATGCTTTTGACCTATTATCTGATAAAAATTGGATGTAGGCCATGGATCCAAAGAGGGAAGATTTAGAGAGAAACAGAACATGTGAGATGGGTGCTCCATAATGGTCCAATAGTGGGACTTGACATAAATGTATACCATCTCTCTCTACAATTACTTTTCCAACAGGAAGGTTGTATGACTCGTTGCTAAGTAAATGATAGATACACCAACTAACTTTGAAATGCAAATAAAATTACAATGAGGATAATAAATACAAATGCCTCTAATATTTCCTCTCAAACTTGGAGTGGTTGAGGAAGAGAGTCATGAAAACCTTGTATAGGTAGATTGTATGATTCATTTTTGAGTTTAGCAACTAACAGAATGACTGGCACATTAACTCTGAAGTTAAAATGAAATTACAATGAGATAAGAATACTAATTTACATTATATCTAATATCTGTGAACATCTTTTGTTCATTATGTACACATGTATACTTGTATCAAGATTCTCCCTCCCTCTAGAAACTGGTTGGAGCTAGGTAAGACTCAAGTAACTCAGTAATTCACTTCTGTATAACCTAGCATGGGGGAGTATATGCTTGAATAATTTCCCCTTGTGTTGCTGTTCTGCTCACTGAGAAAACTGCTAGATAATGTTGGCTTTTAAACAATAAATTAAAGGGTCTAATTGAACCTCATAAAACTATCTTGTAAGGTGAGAATTACCAAAACCTCATAAGCACTACTTAGGGAGTGTCTGAAATCAATATAGGATATCAATCCACTAATAGCTGATCTCTCAATTGCTTCGCACTTTGATGCTTCACTTAATCTATCTAGTTAGCCCCTCTATATGTAGCCTTTTGAGAATGTGTGTCCTAAGGGTGACTGAAAATAAGGAGAATTTTTAACACTATTCTTCACGCCTGGGGTTGTGGGTCTAGAGGGTTGCAATACATGTGGCCTAATAACAGAACTAGGATAAGCATTGATACCATCTTAAAATTTGGGTATTGGGTCTTACTCAACTCTACCAAACCAACTTGTAAGCATTACTTAAGTTATGTTTCTAGTTTATGTAGGATCTCAACCCTCTAAGAGCAACTCTCTCAATAGCTCCACACAAATTTCACTCAGTCTTTTTGGTCAGCCTCTCCATAAGTAGCCTTTTTTTAGACATTGTGGTCAGGGGTGGCCTTAACTAGTGTAGCTTTGCAACAGTTTGCTTCCCTATTTTTCCTGTACTGGGTTCCTCCCTCTACCCAGTTCATTGGTCTATCATGATCCCATTTCAATTTACTTGGAGCTTTCTCATTCTAGTGTCTTCTAATTCTTAGTTCTGGTGCAAGTGTCTGGTTTGAAGTCCATCACATCTAAACACCTGGCATTGGCAAGTCAAGTAATTAGTTTCGTACATGTTATTATTCCTGGTTCAAACTCACTCACCTAAATGAAGTTTTTAATGCGTTTCATGAGTTTATTGTATTGTTTTTCATCATATGGATTAATTTTATAACTTTGTTCTACATTTCTGGTATAAGAGATTCGGCAGATTCTTTTTCTCAAAGTACCTGAGACAAGAAAAATACTATTGCTTTCTGAGATTGATCGGGTTGCCCAGGTTTGTACTTCATTTTTATTTAATCTTTGTTCCTTTAGTCCTTTGTTAGACTTATTCAAACGTTTTGTTCATAGGTAGGATGTTTGAATGATTGTTGGAAGTATTGACAGTTCTGTTCATATAGTGAAAACTTACCTGTAGTTGAACAAGTCGGAAGAGTTTTTACATTTAATTGTGTTTCCTCTGATTCCCCTTTTTTATCATCTGAATGGAAAAGGAAATATTTTGAGGAGGCAATGTAGTAATAGAGAGGACACGACTTGAACAAGAAATTATAGATGCAATTGCATTCACTGTTCTGGAGGTCTATAGCTAAGATTTTGCAGCCTTTATCAAAAATTGATTTTAGGGAAAGGAATAATGATAAGGATCTCTGAATATGGTCCCCTACTATATCATATCATACATTAGATTATTTTTTCTCCTAAACTTGACTTTTTCTGCTTAAAATCATGTTTGAAAAAAATTATAATAATCACATAAAAAACTAAAACCGGAAGAAAATTAGTGCTTTTCTAAGGAGATTTTCGAATTCTTTTAGTTTTGTCATCAATGAAAATCAAGTGTTACTGTTAATTGTGATGACTCTAGTTTCACTGTCTGCACATCTGTACCAATTGTTGCTAGTTACTTATTTTGAATTTTCCTTAAAAATTGTTTTTCTTCTTTTATTCCTCATTC